CAGTGTTCCTCGATGTTGCTCAGGCATTTTATAAAGTTCGGTTAGATGGTCTATTATACAAGCTGAAAGGTACGCTTCCCGTAAAAATTTATGATGTCTTAGAAAGCTTTCTTAATGGCAGAAAATTTCGTGTTATTCAAAGAAGCTTCACCACTGAATCCTATAAAATATTTGCTGGTGTTCAAAAAGGAAGTGTTTTAGGGCCCGTCTTATATTTGATTTAAACGAACGATCTTCCCACAAACCGAAACCTCATCACATCAACTTTCTCGGATGATTTAACAATACTTGGTGTCCATACAAACCCCATGACAGCCAGTTACAGATTACAAGAACATTCAAAAGTAAGAGAAGATTGGCTAACAACTTGGATAATTAAAGTCAATGAGTCTAAGTGTATACAAGTAACATTTAGCCTAAAAATGTCCCACATGTCCTTCAATCTCTATAAATGGGAATACAGTACCTAAGAAAAATGTCGTTACCTACCTGGGAGTTACATTGGATAAAAGACTCACCTCGAAAAAACTACATAGAAAAAAGATTACTCAAACCAAATTGAAAATTGCGAACTTGCATTGGATTGTAGGCTCTAAGTCCAAACTAAGTCTAGAAAACAAAGTTTTACTTTTTAATATGCTTATAAAGCCATCTTGGACGTACGGGATCCAAAATTGGGGTTCAGCATCTTAATCTAACCCAGATAGAATTCAAAGACTGCAGCCCAAAACTTTAAAATCAATATGCAAGCCCCTTGGTTCACAATTCACAACGATCTCGGGATTAAATCTGTCACCGATGAAATAGAGAAACTGCTTAAAAATTACTCGTTAAGATTATCTAACCACCCAGACTTTCTAGCTAAAAAATTATTACAGCAGAACTACCATAAGCGATTAAAGAGAAAGGATTTACGTCTGAACTGTGACTAAGGGCTCTGCCGCATCCAATTATTCTACATCGGAGTTGCGCTCCGAATATATCCTTCCTAAAATTATAATTTTCTTCAAATTATCCTTTATGATATATCTTGTGTTAAAATTCTTTGAGAAATCTAAGTTATCGTAATTTATTGTACTTTGCTTACTTTGTTAATCTATACAGTGGTAATTATTAACTTGTTCAAGGAATAATGATTAGCTTTAAGATTTTCGAAATTATTGTTAGTTTCAAAAAAGGAAAGATTCAATCAATCATAATCAAAAAAAAATTATATGCTTGTTTCTGTGTCTGTTAGAAATAGATATGGATTTAGCTAACGTGTTAATCTTGGAAGAACTAAGAAAGTTTCTCTTCATCTTACCATCCCATCATCGGCATATCAAAGACAAATAAAATACAAAAGGCGCACCGACACTGCTAATCGGATTAAAAGTGCATTACAATTAACCCTGCTGCTACAAAAAACACGAATAAAGCTGCCATATCAATCAGGCATATCAATTTTCACTCAATTTCTATTTCCTATAGGCAATTCGCTGTAAAAAAAAATTAATTTTGGTGCTTGGCCACCTTGAATTTAAAGGTAGAAATAGAATTTCCAGTAGAACTTGCTGTCTAAGGATTTGAGAGTTTAAAAAGAAAATGTTTGATAAATTTTTGCCAAATAAACTAATTTCCAGAAATTGAAATTTAATTTCTATGAAATTTTTTATGATTTGTGTGACTGCCCTTGAAATTAAATTTAGAATTTTTCAATTGGACATGCAATTTTCAATCAATTAATTGCTGCGTCTGACGCCAATTTAAGTAACGATAATTGAGGGCACAGCGAAGTTTTTTTTTAAATTATATAGTGTCAACCATTTCGTGGGGTCAACAGAATTTTCTATTGTAAGTGAATGTGTCGCCGAAAACCCGAATGTGTCTATTTCTCGACGTTCTAGAGCGATGGGTCTTTCTTACGGCATATTAGGGCGCATTATGCACTTGGCCTTACACCTACATCCATAGTGTCCAACTCATACAAAAACTGAAGCCAGATGTCAACTTCACACATACGACGATTGGGTGCTTCAATAACAACCAGTGGACGGCGATTTATATATATATATATATATATATTTATATATTGTATATTTAGATATAAGTATAAACATGTCTACAAATACATTCATTAATAATTTGAAGCCAAAAATCTGGCTTTCATTATAGCTTTGTTTGGTAAGCTAATGGACAGTAACAATTGTTATCAATTTTAACTGAACTTCGTTCGGTGAGGCAAAAAGTCAGTTAAATTTGCACCGAGAGAGCGTTATTATCACAATTCGTTAATGGCTGGTAGCATGCTGACATTTCTGGTCGAACAGAGGGAAGATTAATCGAAATTCACCGATTTGACTACAGTGACGAGCTGAAATATTATCAACTTTTGAGATATTTGAATAGAATTCGGTATAAAGATATATGTATGTAAATATTGTATATGAATCTGCAATGTTCAGATATGTGATTCCGTAATATAATTCTTAACATTAAGAATTTAAGATCGCATAATTTTGTGTTCTGCTCACATATGTACATACACTTATGACGGACGAAATATTGAAGAAAATTCTCAAAATCGGACAACTATAAAATATTCAAATATGCCATTCGTGCTCGTCCTAAATAAGATAAGCAAAACCGTTATTCGAATCAGCTGCCATCACACGTGTGCACAAAACACAGCAGTTAAATTTAATTTTTGTACTGGTATTAATACATTTGTGATTAATAAAAATAAAACGACTTCGGCAGTGATAGTGATTGATTTGATGATGATTTGTGTTGATACAGAGATTTGGACAAATAATCCAATGGAGCTGCCAGAGTCGTTTTAAGTTCTATTTGCATTATACTTTTATATTTGCTAATACAAGATTTGTTTGTATGTAGATTCACAGACCAATATCGTCTTAACAAAGAAGTCTTTATAATAGGGCTGGATGTCATTGAAGACCAGTTAGATAGGCTGTCTATCCCACATGTACTCCAACTTGCAGGCACACTGCGGTTTATGCAGAAGGCTCCTGTTAACGGTCTTGAGGTTATAACAGAAATGCTAAAGGCTTTTGAACGTTTGAATTGTCCACGAATTTTTACATAAAGTACCGTACTCCAGGCTTTGCTGGTTGTACAACCCATTATTCATGACTTACATTTTTATTAAATTTCTGCTTGCAAAAAAAATTTGCATACAATTCTGGCAACGAATAACTAATCAGTTTAATTCTGGCATTTAATCCGATTAATCGGTTTTTGTAACAACTAAAATCGACACAAATTTTGTTTCGAAAATGAAACTGATATGCAAAACAATAATCGTACACATTCAACAGAATTTTGTCGGTTTCAACAATCTGTTTCTGTAACACCCCTGAATATTGCGCTCAGAATTTATTTTAATCTTCGATATAAGTATGTATAATAGTTGCCGTTAGATTTGGATTCGGTTAAACCTATAACTTTGCACCGATAAGAAAATATATATACAACACCGTCTGATAAAAAACAATTTTTTTTGGCCTACGATAAAATCAAACATTTTTGAAAACTAAGTCAAAAAAAAAATACCCGTGTCTGGCCGTTTTGCTATATCAAGTCGCTCATAATTTTTACGGGTGAAAACAACCCCACAACAAAAATTGACAAATTTATAAATTATGAATAATTTATAGAAATTGGAATGTGTTTTTTTACATTGGCTATCAATTAACTACTTTATTTTAGTATTTAGTTGTATAACCATTATTATTAGTTACGGCGGCACAACGTCGTTGCATTGAGTCAGATTTTGACACCTTTCAACTGGAATTGAGTTCCAAGCAGTCTTTACGGATTCCCATAACTGCGAATTATTTGTAGGATAACAGTCAGACACCGATTTCTTTACATCAGCCCACAAATTTTCTATCGGGTTAATGTCAGGAGACTGCGGAGGCCATTCCATAACATTTACTCGATCGTCTCCATTCCACTTCTTTGCAAGCTTGCTAGTATGCTTCGGATCGTTGCACTGTTGAAAGGTCCAAATCAGTGGCATTTCCTCCCTAGCATATGGGAGCATGACCTCCTGCATGATTTGGACATTTTGGGCAGCATTCATGGTATCCTTGAACCAATGAATGGGTCCAACTCCATACCACGAACGGCATGCCCAAACCATAATGCTAGATCCACCATGTTTTACCGTTTACAAAATGTTACGCCATTTGGTCAAAAGCCAAGTCAAATGGTCTTTGGCGAACGTAATCATTGGCCACATGTTGTTTAGTCAGCAAAGGCACTTTTCTGGGGCTCGAGTTCGTTTTCCCGTCAGCGTCGGCGGGGAGTTTCAACGCTGGCTTAAGAGATTTTTTTATTTCGGTGGCAGCCGCAAAAGGAAATTGCTTTAAATATTTTACAGCAGATTTAACCAATTGAGTGGGCACACGTTTCCGCCCACGTTTTTCGACACCCGGTTTGTATTTTTTATCGTTTCGGACCATCGTGGGGGAGCAACCAATGTTGTTGATTCTTTTTTCTTGACATCACTACATGCAGCATGACCAATATTTTTACACCTTAATCTAACGGTATTTACAGGGAAAGCGAAAAAATGTCTGAAATACAAATTTATAATGACTTATATTTAATTAGCAAAATCACTACTAAGATTTTGACCGCAACTGTAACTTCGTAGGTGGTGAAATCAGAATTCTGATATTGACCAGTTGGCAGCGCTTGTGTATGCGCTTGGTTATCAGGGAGATTAAGATTTTTTTCTGCAAAGATGTTTATGAACACTAATTACTTAGAGTGAAGCAGCTGATAAAGTTTTCGGTTTGCAATAGCAATTAATGTAAGAATGATGATAAACTGATAAATTTATCCGATTTTGTTTTTAACTTGTTTGAATATGAACATATGTATATACAAATATATATATATACATCCTTTGCAAATCATAACCGCCCCTATTAATTTATATAATATTCATGTATATATGAACATTCACAATTTAATTTTGTAAATTTCAGCACTGGTTGGCTCTTTGACCATCGGCACAACGTTCCTGCTCTCACCAATTGCTGGAGTACTCACCGATAAAATTGGTCTGCGGTTGACTACTTTGATTGGAGGCTTACTCTCCGCTGCTGGCCTGCTGCTTTCATCTTTTTTTACGCACAATATCCAAGCTTTGTATTTGACATATGGCGTTATGTTCGGTCTGGGTGCTGCATTGGCTTACACTCCAACGTTAGCAATTTTGGGGCATTATTTTAAAAGATATCTGGGAAAAGTAAGTGGGTTCGTAACAGCTGGCTCTAGTGTATTCACAGCAATATTACCGCCGGGCTTAGATTATCTGTTAAGAGGATATGGACTTCAAACTACATTATGGGCGATGAGTTTGATTTCTTGCTTCATAATTATTTGCTCTTTTGTTTATAAGCCCCTGCGTCCTCCGCCGATACCACCACAGAAGAAACCTGGCCGTTCTCGGATAAATACGATTCTACGCTCAACTATCAATGTGGATATATGGAAGAGAAAGAAGTACGTTATATGGGCGTTGTGCGTTCCAATGGCTTTGTTTGGTTACTTTGTGCCTTATGTGCATATGATTAAATTCGTACAAACCACATTCCCAGGTAAAGATCCGAATTTGCCAGTGATGTGCATTGGTGTGACATCCGGCATTGGCCGATTAATATTCGGAATAATCGCTGACCTGCCCAGAGTGAACCGTATATATTTGCAACAGTTAGCGTTGGCATGTATCGGTGTGGTTACATTACTACTGCCATTAACAAGCTCCTACGTACTGCTCATTGTTTTCACATTAATAATGGGCCTCTTTGACGGCTGCTTTATTTCTCTTCTGGGCCCAATAGCATATGAGATATGTGGACCTTCCGGTGCGACACAAGCTATTGGCTTTCTGTTGGGAATGAGCTCTCTGCCGCTAACTATTGGACCACCAATAGCCGGTTGGATTTATGATAAAACTGGCACATATACGACGCCACTGATTCTGGCAGGAATACCGCCCATATTAGGATCCACAATAATGTTTTTAATAAGATGTGTTCGTGAAGACGATAATTACGAAAAAAAAATCTCAAGGAACACCAATACTGATTTGGAGAATACTGCAGACATACCAAAGAACACTTGGGAAAACAACGGTAATTATTCTTTCTACTATTGAATGTTTTACTAATATTACGTCAATTTATGGTAACAATCGTAATAATTCTTTTCGACGGAATGGAAAATTTTATCTTTTTTATTTGTTTTATTTATATGTGCTTGTATAAACTGATAGAAATATTATGAATATTTTTAAATGTTATTAATGGTGTAAAAATTCGTTACCTAATTTGAAATAAGCTGTTGTTTGCTTATATTTTGAAGGATTTCTAGGGTTTTTGATGTATTTAAAAATAACACACATCCCGTTGCAAATTGTAACAGCTCCAAATCTATTTTATTAATTTCTCCTAAGTGTAAAAGAAAAAAAGCAATACCGTTAGTGTTAGGTGCATCCATTACCTGAGATTCAAATTGGTAGTAAATAACAAAAACGGCAAGCTTCGAAACATCATCAACTCATATAACCGCAATAACTAAAAGTATTTATTTAAATCTCCATTCCTAAGGCTTAGCAGAAGTGCAGGGCTTTATTTTAAGACAAAATTTAATTTCGTCAAGTTGGGCGTGGAATCGAAGTGATAGAGTTGTGAAAATGCTTTGAAAGCCTTGAGTATTTTGGCTACAAAATATAAAAAAACATGGCCGAAAAAAATGGCATAGAGTTCTGTTAAAAGCCTGCAAGTCGTTGGGTATTAAGCAGTGTGAACAGTATATATTTGCAACAGTTAGCGTTGGCATGTATCGGTGTGGTTACATTACTGCTGCATATATATAATTGGCGCTTTGTAACCGCTGAAGCGATTCTCCGCCGAGCTCCAATAAGTGGATTTGCGCCTTAATGTTTTTCCAACAAATGGAGGGACCTACTTTTTATACTCATGTCAGAAATGCACTCGGAGGGGTTGACATTCTCTGCCGAGGGGCGACCGCAATTAGCTTAGTTACTAAGGTTAAATCAGAATTTTCTTATTTTTCGTATTTCAATTCTTTCGGTGAACTGTTTTGTTAAAAATTTTTAAGCTCTGGTCTTATTTTTCTTTAAATTCAATCTTAATAAACTACACGGCTTTAATAGTTATTGTCAGGACTTCCCACAAGAACCCACGTTTTCGCGAAACCCAATTTCGACAGTGATCGATTAATGGTAAGATAGGAAAAGTTTCAGCTTCAGTCTCCCTACACCTGAGCTTCGAGAAAGTTATTCTCAACAAGAAAGCGTAGCGGTTTGCTTGGGATTGAACGTCAAAGTGATTGCGACAAGAGGATGTCAATCAACGCTATTAAATGGCCTAGTGGGACGAAAATTGAATCTCAGGCAGTGTCTGCACCTAACATAAATAATATTGTTCCTCTTTTTACACTTGTATAAGCCAAATTTTTCACATGGATTTAGTGCGGTTATAACTTTGCGATGGTTTGTATATTTGATTTAATCTATTTTTAACTTAACATCAAAGAAAGGCGCCTTATTCACTAAGGCCGATTCATTAATTATCGTGTCCGATTCCTCCACCTTCATTTTCTGCAACACCTTAGTCCAAAAAAAAGCATAGTCGTTCTGTGCGATTGTTATAATTTATAAATATATATGTATATGTATGTATGCTTGATTGAAAATTTCCGACTAAATTTACCAAATTGTTTTATATAATTCAATACTAGATACTCACGGCCTATAGTGAAAATCCTTCATAATATAACTGCATAGGTCTGTAAGTTGAGGTTATTCAGCCCTGTTTTCATAGGATTTTCTTATTTCGAAAATCTTCTCATACACGTATATGAAAAAAAGTAAATTTTTCGGTTATGGAGAACCATAATACAAACTAATAGGAAATAATTTTAATAAAAATAAGGAAATACTAAAAAATCATGTTTTCATAAATCAAATGTGAATAAATATTCAAACATATGTACTCGTACGTATCTCCGTAAAAATGTTAGATTCGAAACCGCAAAAGTGTTTTATTACAACCAGAAATAAATTGGGAGCATGGCTGAATAAAAACCTTCATAGTGTATGAACGTCCTTGCAGTGGGCATTTCTATGCACATATGTATGTACGTAAGTGTATACCTAACAAAATAATGTAAACAGATGTAATATATATGTAAAATATATGTAATGTTTTAGTGTTTTTATTTACAAGCTGAGGATATTGAACTGTATATTCGTTTTTAATTAATTACATGTGTATTCATATATGTATGTATGTACATATATGGGCAACCCAAATTCTATTTAATAATTCAATACTTTTAGAACAAAATTTCATTGTACCGTTGTTGAGAGAATCTGATGATACAAAAGAGGCCGATGGAAAGGCAGACACGATGCTCAAAACGAGTTCTTCCGAATCAGGTATTCATCGACATTATATATGTGATAAGCTTGCGACATCGTTAGATAAATGTAGATTCTTAACATCTTGTATTCATGATGCTCCCAGTAGTGAAATAACTAGTCATTCCATTTGCTCACAAACTGCTTTGCTTGATACGAGTTGCATGTCCTTATCCATCACAGATGAACAATTTGTGACAACCGATGAAGCTTCTTGCTCGCATACAACCGAACGCTTATATGTCACGCAAAAGCGTCGCTATACATATTCGATTTATTAATTAATTTATTTAGCAATATATGTAAATATATAATTGTATATACATGTATACATATATTTAAACTATTGTATTTATTATTATTTTTATTAAATTTTAAGATACATTTAAACATTTAGTGTACATACTTATATGGTCTATAACAAGTTTTATTAGTAAATATAATTTTGTATGTAATAACGCTTTGGATTGGGATAATGTGTATATCTTGGCAGCTTTTCCACCACTCACAATATGTTCCAATAATGATCTCGACTGATAAATTTGAATTTTCATCTTCTAATCCTATGTACGATGGTTAATTCTTAAGCACAATATCAAAATATGTATGTATTACATACATATGTACATACAACATACAAACATATGTATGCATTTTCGTTCCAAAATTTATTAAAATAACGTAAGTCCTACTCAGTTGCTTCTAATTTTCTTATGCATGTAGCGGATAAAGTTCTACGGCTACTTGAACAAACTCAAGAGTTAAACTTACCGCCCGAAGAAAAATTTTGTTATTTTTTTAATAACCGAAATTGAATTTTGTATGCTTTGGCAGCACTTTTTCGTTGCCAGAAGAATATACGTCAAGATTTATAAAATAAAAGGTTATGACAAGAAGGAAATCATATATTTAATGCCGAAGTTGGTTCAATTTTGTGGGTTTCAAAGATTTCAAAATGAATTTGCATAATTTTATCGCTAAAACAGCGTAATATTTTGCCTATAAAATTTTATAGCCAAGCAGTAAAATTTTTTGAAGTTAATACCACAATTAAAATGTCCTGAGTTGTTTTATGGTGTACAAGTGAATTTTAGGTAAACAAATTCTTAAATTGTAAAAATTAATATTATTTTTTAACATAAAATCTATAGCGGCTAGCAACTAAAACATTTGGTGTCATGCAGTACGAAGGGCATATATAAAGCGAGATTTTGGTATATTTTCTTTTGCTGCTAAAAAGTTTTTGAGAAATGGATCATCTACACGTATACCTTGTGAAAAAATCGTGACAATCGTGAATTAAATAAAAAAAATTGTGTGTGATTTACATTTATTACATTTTTGTGAAAAATAAAATCAAACTGAGATATTGTAGAATATTTGTTAACTGTCTCATGTTATCATACATTTTTTCACTGGATAGGTAGTAATATAATATATCTGTAAGAATGAAGTACTTAAGTATTAAATTTGTGTAAAGCTCTTATTCACATTTGCAAAAAAAAAATACGGCGGCCGAGTACTACCGCCTCGACCTTGGTTTGATTAAAACCCTGCATAGTATATTTTTTTTGCTAATTTGACCACTGAATATAGGAAGAAGTTGGTTCGTTGTCGTCAACGGTTGTCGTAACCTTGTATTCCACAAACCTTGGAATATTCATAAATATTTGCATTTCTTTCGTTGTTGGGAAGCAAATTTCCCGGCTTTTGTTTTGACAACCAAATTTGAAATATATTTTAGTTATCAAGAAGCAGAAAGTCGGCTCATAGCACTCCTTATACGACCCGAGGGAAAATAGTTGACAGAAACTTTAAATAAAACAGCAAAGTTGTTTTTTGTCTAAACAAAAATTTGATTTAAAAATTATATAAATATAAAAATGAATATATACTCCCTTGTCAAATGGTGCCAATTCGTTTATAAGCTCTAAACAAATTGCGTTGTTAAGGCGAAAATGCTGAATGACAACGCTATCTTCCAAATTAAAAGCATAATTTTTTGTGGCAAGCTTCGTAACATGCGCCTTATTGCACTTTTTTTTATCTTCAATGAATTTAAGGCGTAAAATATGCTTATACATACATTTTGGATTTTATTTTTTCTGAAATTAACAACACAAAAACAAACAGCAGATTTCTTGTCTCCTCCTATTTCGCGGGTAACAAAACTTACAGCGTGACAGTGAACTCAGAATACGAAATGGTAACAAAATTTACTGAATGAATCATTCTACTTAAGCATTTTTGGTAGTTATTTATTATACATAATTTATATATCTTTATATACATATTACAAGAGGAAGCATTTTTAATGTCATATAGCTATGAAGCCGACTGTGGAAAATAACTTTATATTCTTGTATCAACGTGTGGAGTATGCCTCGGAGCTTTCCCACATAATTTTCAAATAGACACGTGTGATTATTGTTTACTAACAGATTTTAGAGTGGAGTTACCCGTTCTATCAAAAAAAAATATATGAAAATAACTAATTAACCGAGCAGTAATTAGCAGTAATGGGATGTAATAAAAAAATTCAAAAGTAAAAATATTAAACCTTTTTACGTAACCTTGATAACTAAGAAATAACTGTCAATTTAAAATTGAGTTGGTGCAGGAGATAACAAACTGATTAAATAAAAATGCAGAGCGTTCACAAAATTAATGTCCCCGAGACAATAACCTGAAAGGGTACACCTGTAGTATTGTTAATTTGGTTTGGTTATTCCATTCAATTAACCGCAACTTAGGAATTTTTGTTCTTTGGTTGTGTGGTGCCAAATCATAATTGCTTGCATTTCATTAATATGTACATAGATAAAATTTAATATTGTTTCGCTATAGTCAAAAAGTAGTCCCAAACAATTGGGTCTAGTCGAACGGAATCCTTCAACAACTTCTCTCATAGAATTTGAACGATTGATCGATGACAGTTTCTTAGCGTAACCATGTGGAACAGGCTACCCATGTGCTAAGAGTACTTTTTGCTTGAATTTTTTTTTACATACATATCATTAAATAAGTTTCTCTGCCGTTTATTGTTTAAGTGTTATATAAATATTCCCTGCATGAAATCTCCTTGGAGTATGTTATATGCAAAGTTTGCATCAAAACACATCAGGTAATGTTAATTACACATGAGCTTATTGTTTTTGGCTAGAAAAAATAATTTAACCTGTACGTAATGCTATCTCATCTGTCTTATATTTCTGTTTTATAATTTTTATATTTCTTACATTTACTAGTTTACTCTTGTTATTATTCAGTGGCGTTGCAGAAACACACTGTTGTCAGAATCAGCGTTGAAACCGACAAAATTCTGCTCAATTAGGGGCTTAAGAATTTACCCGCGGTAAGGCATGCCTGTCGTAAGAGGCGACTAAAATCCAATAGTTCCCGCGACAGTCGGGTCTTTATACCGGAACGACCCGGATTTTCATCCGGCCAAGGACTGTCACTCCCGCAATATTCCCCAAAAAGTACTTCAAACGTAGAAAATCCTTTATCACTTTTAGTATAACCTCCGAGACTATAGTTCGCGCTAAGGAGATATTTAAATCATTGCTCATAGATCGTTGATAAACCTAAAACCGCAGTGTCGCTGCAGGTATACACATAGCTTGCCTTCTATAACATCCAGCACTATTACAAAGACTTCTTTGTTAAGACGATGTTGGTCTATGAATATACATACAGATTCGAATATCGAAAACAGCAAAATCAAGTCGGTTTCATAACAACATTTCAAACAGATATTGATTCTCAATTCCTATAAATAAGCAATTCGGTGTCGGTTTCTATGACACCGCTTATTATTATTATTATTTGTTCGTTAAATTTATATAATTAATTTAGCATTTTTTTGAACTGTGCTGTTTATATGCTTTTTAAACTTTACTTTTATTCTACTTTCCTATGCAAACATATTTTTCAGCGTACTTTATTTGAGCTAATACATCCGTTCAGTAACAGTTTATAATTTGAAAATTGTACTTAATAATTTTTTTTAAAATAAACTTTACTCTTATTTATAAATATGATTTGTTCCTTCACTTTTGTCTTGTTTCCCACCTACATCAGCTATGATCTTTTTTAGTTAATAATATAATAATTATTCGAACTAACAATATATAATAAACATGCATTACCTAAATATTTTAACGGGCATTATTTACCGCAACTGCTTCATGCTATGCTTGCTAAACAACATAAACACGCTTGTAAGTGTAACAAATTCTTAAATTTATTACCTTATGTATTATATACATACATTGACTGATTGAATATCGTTTATTTTTCAGCGCCACATTCTGAAGTTGGTCGATTCTAGGATGGAGGATTGAAATTCACACACATATCTGGTTGTTAAATAAAACATGTATATAATATAAGCTTAGCTTATGGATTCCTAGTGCCTTCAGGGATTTTATTGAAACACATACATATGTATATATATAATTTTACTTAACTGTATTCGTGCATTAGCACATACGACCGATTTTATTAGATGCAACGCTTCTATAAATGCCATACATATCAGCTGAAACATTGATTATGCAATAGTTCATTAAAATACTTGAGATACCTATTGACATTACATTTTTACAAGCATTAATATACTTACAATATATTATATTATATTAAGGAAACCAAAAAGTCGAATTTCGAAATAAGAATTTTTGTTGTTTTTTCAGTCTTATTTTCAAATCAGGTTTATTTAATATATTTTAAGCAACAATATGATATTTATATAGTTCAAAGTAGCAGAAAGAATTATTTAATTTAATAGTATGAATAATGTAAAACTTCGTCAAATCGGAAATACATACATACATGCCATTTATAACAAACTTAAACGAAATTTATAAATATTTTTGTATATTTAATAATATTGGGTTAAGTAACAAATCATCCATTATTTTTGCAAGAGATGACCTTTGTGATCTGTATCTTGTGTTCTATAAGAGCGATTGGATCGTGCTTAAAAACCTCATGGAATTGCTGCTGAATCAATGAAAAACTAATCCGTGTCTGAAGTGGATGGTGACTTATGATAAAAAGTTGATCACTTTTGGCACCGTCAACGGCAATTAACTAGCACAAACGCTCTACAAACCAGGATTTACGGCCAGGAAGGTTTTTATGTGGGGGGGGGGTCTAGGCCTGGAGTTATCACTTCGATAGCGACATGCAAGGACTCTGAGCTTGGGGTTGGGTTTTAATGCGTCCGCCTTGTAGTCCGAACCTCGCTCCAAATGATTAACATCTGTTCCGATCTATGGCGAATGATTTGGCTGCTGAAAAGTTGGCCTCAAGAGAAGCCTGTGAAAATAGAGGATACACATTTTTTGCCGACAGGGTAACGAGTTTCTATGAGATAGACATAACATTACCATAGGAATGATAAGGAGTAGTCGAACAAAACGATGTATATTTGTCATACGTCGTATAATTCTAACTATGGAAAATAAAACATTCCATTTAATGCAAAATTAAGATAATAATATTTACTTGATTATGTTTTTTCCGCAGAACATACATATCTGAAATAAATCCAGCGCTATGAAATTCCCCTCATTAGGTAAAAATGCTCATTTCGTTGATAACCGTACTCGTAAGTCCCTTCTTTTTAGGGCGCCCGAAATACGGTTGTCTGTCTAGATCGATCATGTTGTGTTCTCTAGTGTTCTTGACGTGCGTACACTCCTAGGATCCAAAATCGACTCGGACCACTAAGTACGCCCGTCAACAAACACAAAGAAAGTTGGACGACAAAAGCAGCAATCATAACAAACTGCCAAACGGTTTTCTACTCGACTTGCACTCGTGCTCTCTGAGAGCACTCATCAGCAGCTCGATATAGAGGAAATACGGCATTTCAAGCTCACTATGTGCAACTGCAAGCGAAACTATTGGCTTTCGGAGAAGTCGCAAAAACAGCAGGTACGGGAAGGGATAGATACCGAGCATTGAAGAGTGTGAAGAGCTTAAGAAGCTTGAGATAGAGGGACTTATGGAAGGTTTCAAGACCGGAGCAAACTTTTGTAGGGCCCAAGGGGGGAGCTAGTGACGGATGCCCAGAAAATACTGAACTTATGGAGGGAACACTTCTCCAGCCTGCGGGGATGGTGAACCCCAAATCCCAATCGATGACGATGGAAAAGACGTTTCGTTACCTGATCATGTCGAAGTTCGAAAAGCAATCGCCCGCTTAAAAACAACAAAGCGGCTGGGAGCTGACAGCCTACCGGCACAGCAATTCGAACATGGCAATAAAGAGCTGACAAGTCATAACATTGAAGTCGTAGATAACTTCGTCTATCTTGGAGCCAGTGTCAACGCTCAACAATGCCAGCCTGGAAATTCAATTGGAGAATCACACTTGCCAACAGGTGCTACTTTGGACTGAGTAGGCAATTGAAAAGCAAAGTCCTATCTACACGAACAAAACCCAAGCTCTATAAGTCGCTTATCATTCCCATCCAGCTATACGGTGCGTAGACATCGACGATGGAAACATTTAATGAATCGGTATTAGGATTTACGGTCCTCTGCGATTTGGTAGTGGCGAATACCGCCGCCGATGGAATGATGAGCTGTATAAGATATACGGTGACATTGTCATAGTTCAGCGAGGAAGACCTTTGCTCTGTTGGAAAGACCAGGTAGAGAAGCCCCTGACTCTACTTGGTTTCTCTAATTGGCGCCAAACAGCAAAAGAGGAATCATAAATTCGGCTATAATCGCGTAAGCGGTGTCTACGCCAGTAAGGTAAGCAAGTAAGAAAAGTGAGAAAAATAAAGTAGTATTCATAAAATGCCAATCATTATTAAGATTTATAAACATTAAAAGTCAACTTTTTTAAACTTTAAAAGCGTTTTTTTTTGTTTAGTATTGACCAAATATAAGAGCAATGTTGTCTTGACTTTATTTGTTGCATATGTTTTTTTTTTTAATTTTTTCCTTTTTTTTGATAACGGTGACTTTTTGTCGAAAAAGATTTAATTCAAATCAATTCATTCAGTTATATTAAAGTGTAGTTAACTAGGTGATACAATAATATAGCGGTAGTTTCATTCTCTCTTCGAGTTCATAGCAATCTGACATTGAACGTGTTTCGTTTTGTTCGTGCTATGCTCTTCTCTTGAAGAAAATCTACCATTTTTGAATGAAAAGTATGTGGAGAATTTTCATATATTTTATATGTATAAATGTTCAAAAATTACTTATTTTATTGTATTTTCCAACCACTTATAGTTGACTTCATCGAGTGTTTACCTTTCATGATTTTTGTATTGCAACTTTGGTAAATTGTAAGAAAGTATCAGAGAGGGCAGAGATTCTCCCATCAAATTTTAATCGAATTCAACAGGACAAAGAGCTGACTGGACTTGCTATAAGTATCTACGTTTGAATGCAAACCAGCCTCACAGTTTAAGAGATGTTTTGTAAACGGACAGGAGTGGGAGTGGACAAAAACGATTCTTTTCGTATGGTATCCCCTGGGTAGCCAACAATCATCCGTTTAGACCCGAGCAGTGAAAAATTGTGTTATGCTTCAAATGAGAGAACCCCCTATTGATCAAGATCCCCGCAAAAGTTCTAAGGATTACGATTTGGGGGCATGCAGCTGATATCATCGACGTCCAAGAAGTGTGATTCACGAGACGATACGAAAGGTGAGTCCTTTTGATATATACTACAGCGGCCATATAAATGAGTGTTAATTTGGTGACGAATTTGTCGTGGGACACAGACTCCGTCGCCGAATACTAGCATTCACTCCAGTGGATGAACGTTTCACCACAATTCAAAACAAAGCAAAATTCCTTAACATACCGTTGATTTGCGCACACACCCCGATGGAAGAGAAGAACCGTATGACTAAGAGCGCCATGAACATACTTACAAACGCTGCACCCACCACGATGCCAAAATTGTGCTTGGCGACTTCAACGCCAGAGTTGGCAAAGAAGGTATCTTCGGCACTACTGTGGGAAAATTTAGCCTCTATGACGAAACATCCCTAAATGGGAAGAGACTGATCGAATTCTCTGGCAGATTCCAGCACATGAAAATCCGCCAATCTACTTGGCTGTTTCCAGATCGAAAAACACCAGATCAATTATGTTGAGATAGAAAGAGAGGAAGATATGCATCCAGTGTTCTTGACGTGCGCACACTCCGAGGACCAATATCCACACGGGTCACCATGTAATGCTTGAAAATTCTACAAAAAGATACGACGACTCACGGAAGATTTCAAGACCGGGACAAACTCTTGTAGGACCCGAAGGATTGATCTAGTGACGGATGCCCAGAGAATACTGAATTTATGGGGGACACACTTTCCAGCCTGCTGAACGGCAGTGAGAATGAAACAACAGGAGATGGTGAACTCGAAAAGACGCTCCGTTTCCTGACCATGTCGAATTGCGAAAGAGAAGATTGAACCTTTAGCTCTGCAGCTCGTATTATTTATTCCAAATCACACAATAAAGAGTCATCCTGTCTGAAACCCTGTTTGGTACCGAACGGCGCGGAGAGGTCCTTCCCAATTCTGACTGCGCTTCTGGTGTTGTCTATCGTCAGTTTACACAGCCATATAAGTTTTGTGGTGATACCAATTTTAGACATAGCTGCGTAAAGGAAGCTCCTACTCGCGCTGTTGAAGGCGGCTTTAAAATCGACGAAGAGGTGATGGGTGTCAGTGTCTTTTCCCGGTAAATTTCAAAGATTTGGCGCATTGTGAATATCTGATCAATGGTTGGCTTGCCAGGTCTAAAGTCACACTGATAAGATCTAATCAGTTTGTTACGTTGTGCTTTAGTCTTTCACACACCACGCTCCACAGGGCCTTGTAGGCGATATTATTTGTCCCACTATAAATGGCGCAGATTGTGGGGTTCCCTTTTTTATGGATTGGGCAGAGCACACTTACGTTCCAATAGTCGGGCATGTTTACATCGGACGATATTTTGCAAAGAAGCTGATGCATGCACTTAATCACTTCTTCACCACCGTATTTAAATAGCTCCGCCGGTAATACATCTATCCCCGCCGCTTTGTTGTTTTTAAGCGGGCGATTGCTATTCGAACTTCGACCCGGTCAGGTAACGAACCGTCTTTTCCACCGTCATCGATTGGGAATTCGGGTTCACACAAGGCAAAATTTTTACGCAGCCAACGCTTTCGAACACGTTAAATTCCGATTCGCCCGTAAACAGGAGTCTTCTCCATCGGCAATCTTGGTCTATTTCCGACAGATTTGTTAGGTTTTTCGAGCAATGTTTAATCATTACGTTTTTAAGATCACCCTCTATCTGTTTTTCTTTACCCAGTTTTTTTTTTTACTTTGCATTCACTGTTGTAGAAGAAGTCAGATCTAATACTGGGTAAATGTGTATAAGTTGCTTAATCATTGAATATAACGGTACTTTATTTCTATATAACTTGCAAAGAACATGCGATGGATATTCTTCTTTGGTAGTATTTAAACTTTTGTCCCGCGTGATTTCATGTTTTTAATGAATTTAACGCTATCTAAGCGACTTTGAACTTTTTTTGGATTGTATTGTTGCTTAATTATCTACTTTAAATAAACTGCATTCTTAGATTTACTCTAAAATTTTTAGTTTTAATGAAAAAGTAAAGTTTTATTGGTGTAATTAAACTTTTGACTTCGGCTGTATGCAAATATGGGAAAAGTTTTCTTTTACAAAAGAAAACACATATCATACAATTTTCGTTTTTGCACTTCCGTATTCAAGGCGCCGCTGTCACAGATTTGGTGTTTTTTTACTTAAGAAAAGGCAAAAAAAAAAAAACTAGCAAACAACAAGATACGGTGCGGAGA